GGTCTAAAAATGCAGTTACTTTATCTAAAGGTAGAATTCTGAAAGTGTCATCTACGTACCGCTTGTAGAACCTTGGATTTATGGGAGAACTAAGCAGGGCTTTCTCCTCAAAGTCTTCCATGAATATGGCGGCGACAATGGGAGATACAAGTGAGCCCATCGCCATACCATCTACTTGCTTGTAGAACTCCTCCTTCCACAATAGGTAGCCAGATGTAAGGCAGTGTCTGAGTAATACTGCATATTCTACGGGCATGTTGTTTTCTTCCAGCTTTCTGGTTACAATTGAGATGCAGTCTTCAACAGGTAAGCATGTAAACAATGACTGCACATCAAAACTGACCATAGTTTCATTGTCTGCCAGATGTAGGTCTTTGATCTCGCTGACAAAATGGTAGGAATCCTTTATGTGTGCTCTTGTATGTCCCCTGAGTGGTGAGAGTATTTTCGCTAAGTGTTGAGCCAATCTGTAAGTTGGTGAATCGATTTGGCTCACTATGGGACGTAATGGAGCATTGGGCTTGTGTATTTTTGGTAACCCATACAATTTTGGTGATTTGGCGCACGTAGGTATTATCCATTTTACGTCCAGATTTAATTTTTCGGAGTGTTTCTTTATGAGGTCACTAGTTGTTTTTAGTTTGTTATTTGTTGGGTCGTTTTTAACATTTTTATAAGTACTTACATCCGACAAAAGTTCTTGTATTTTAGAATTATAATCTGACGTATCCATGACTACCGTGGCGTTTCCCTTATCTGCGCGGAGAATCGTAAGTTCGTGTTTATTGCATAGGTTCTTTAACGCTATAAATTCGTCTTTGGGAAGATTCGGTTTAGGCACTGAACATCGACGTAACATAGACGAGATGTCTTGACGTATCGCCTCCAAATCTTCTTTCCGCATATTGTTTTTAAATAAACAGTCCTCGACACTACAGATAATTTCTTCGTACGGTAATTTGCGGGGTGTAATTGCAAAGTTGAGGCCTTTGGATAAAACCCTAATTGTTGCATTATCCAGTGTTTGTTTTGACAGATTATAGAGCGCGATTAATCTATGATCTGTGTTTGTCAATAGTTGCTTTCGGTTCTGGCATTGATTCAGATGTTTGACATTTGACTTGTTCGTTAATTTTTGATATTTTTCTATATGTTTGTTTTCGCATTCATTATATTTACTAATTTCGTGTTTATTTAATGTTTCCATGCAAAAATTGTAGTCAAACGTCGTTAAAACTTTCTTCAATTCACTGGATGATGTGTCTATGGATTTGTTTATGTCATATAGATCGGAGCGTTTTTGTTGGATTACCGTCCGTAACAACTTTTTTACTCGCCTGATTTAAGATCTTAGCGCTTCCTCGAATGTCTTTTTTGGTTGATATTTTAACACACGTAGGAATAAGATTATGGTCACGGCATCTCTTCAAGAAATTTAAGGCTGTTAGATATCTTGCGCGCTTGGTCTTTAGATCTTCTAATCGGCGTATTTTATTTGCAATTACCAGTCCGTACTGGTTTACATAATGGTTTCTTATATTTACGCGAACACTACACATTGAAATAATACTTGTTTTTACGGAATTTATCGCGTATATTTAACTTTTTTAAACACATACATCTGTGCAGGACAGGATTATAGTGTCCAAGTGTATGCGCAAGCACAGGTGCACGCTCCATTCCTTGACTCTTCAATTCTACACGGTTGGAGAGCAACCATGCGCTGTAAAAACGGCTATAATATACGTGTTTTTGCGAGGCACAGTAGTAAATCAATTTCCTGACTATGAGAAGCTATTTAGAGTTTCTTGGTAGAAAAACTACGTAGCTAACTTCTTTATCCCAATCTCTAACGTCATATCAGAGTATTAATCACTACCACACAATATCACTTCATTCTTTTTACGAGATAACCAACTCGTTTATGGCATAAAATACCCTGACCAGCGACAGGAGGGGGGGGGGGGGTAGCTTCAAATAATAATAAAAAATAGAACTATTTGGGGTTTATCACTTTACTTTATTAGAATATATCGACACCGCGTTCACCATCATCATCATCATCATAGCCAACAAGTTCACTGCAAAACATAGGCCTTTCCCAAGCAATGCTAAAAAGTACGGTCCTAAGCCACCAACATTCATAGACTTCCTGCACATGTTACCAGGTATTCGCTCCATCTAGTGAGGGGACACCCTAAACTTCTAGCGGTACGAGGCTGCCATTGGAGAACCATTTTTCCCTATCGACACCCCTTTTTTACTGTATAATTAATAAATGTTCATGTAGTAACGGAATATTAGATGATAAAATAAAGAGAACAGTAAATTGATATATTGAATACAATACAATACTATAACTTTATTTCTGGCATCAAGGATTTAAAAATTAATAACTATAACAATGTATAACTTAACCTAACAATATATCTCTCCTGTTACCTATCCTCTCTGCTCTCTACTGCGTTTTATTGAACATATCAAGTCCTCCCTACCTTAAAGAACGTTTCCAATTTCTCAGCTCCTCTCATAAACTCTCCCTTCGGTCCTTAGAAACCTTTGCATATTATGTCCTTTGCACTCTTTTTTATATATAGGATAGGGTGACAAACGAGCACACAGTTCACCTGATGGTAAGTGGTTGCTGCGGCCCATAGACATCTACATCTATCCTCGATTAAGAATCAAAACGCAGATACGTTGTCACTCTTGAGGACTAGGATGGAATGCCTCGTTTCCAGTAAAAAGGGTTTCCGGTTCTCTACACTCACCATATGAAACACAGCAGCATTAAGCTGCTATTTCACGCTGGTATTATGTAATTTTGAGATTCACAAGATAGAAGTAGTTACGACGCACGACGATTGTCACAGAGTATACTGTGTTTTATTTTATTTTGCTACTTTTATTTTTACTTGAATATAATTAGCTCGAGTAAATTCACTTTGAAGAAGTTTTTAAAAGACCCATTACTATATCTATGTTTCATATCACAAGAATCTTTATTGTGTGTGTTTGTTTGTACCGGTTAGTAATATGTAACTGATCATCATTAAAATATGAAACAGATCGTCTTGGATTAACAACTTTGAGTATTTTGCATCACTCGTCTGATCTTGCGCAGTCGTGAAGAGTTCTCGAATCACAACGGTACTGCTATATTATTACGCAGCTTGTTATTTTACTGTGTTGTTTTCACTGCCATAACCTGTTTTGTGAACCGTGTTATTAAATTCTCGAGTGAGTATAATACACATATAACTTATTTTGCGTTAGTTTTAAGTTATAAGGTCAATCTAAGGGAGTTTACTTGTCCTCTATTATTAAAAAGTACGGATCATGAACTGCTGTATTGCGTGTAAGTAGTATAAGTTTATTTAATAACAACTAATAAAAAATTACTAGTAGTAACAGTTACGACATATTTAATAAAATTGATAGAGCCATGGTAGCTCAGGGACGTGCAAGCAACCTGGGTTTGATTGCTGTAGGCACCAATGAAGTTGTTAATTGCAATTTTAAGTACTAACTTACGCCGTGTTCAGTGACGAAGGAAATTATCGTGAGGAAACATGCATGAAGTTGTATAATAGTGATCATTGGGCAGTAATATAATAGAATCATTTTTAATCAATTTAGATTAGAAGAATAAGTACTTATAATAACTTATTTCGTAGGAAAAACGGGCAAATATCCCAGCGTGAGTCGAAAGTCTTTGAAGTTTTTTTTTACCTTCAGACGTGCAAGAATGTCAATGAACTTAGTTTTTTGACCTTTAAAATCTTTGTCTGACTTTCACTTTCATATCATAAGAAAATATATTTACGGTGTAAGCTTTTTAATTAATTGTAATATTTTTGTTTCTAGCAAAATATATCTTTTGAATAGCAAATTAATCTTACACTGACATTTTCTCTGACAATGTTACATGAATTATTAAATTAATTGAATTCTTTTAAATATTTTATGAATTGTCAACAATTCTAAAAATATTGCTAGTAACTTGAACATTAATATTAATATATACATACTACTAAAATAGATTATGTAGAACTACGAGTATATACTTGAACATACGTGGAAGAGCCACGCAGCAGCTATATTATTGTATTTTGTATCACGGATGGATCGGCTCGACCGGGAAAGGACCACGCACTCACAAAATACCAGCGAAAAATATCAGCTTAATGCTGCTGTATTTCGTATGGTGAGTGTAGAGAACCGCAGAACCGTTTTGCTGAAACGAGGCATTCCATCATAGTCCTCAGGGGTGAAAATTAATCGAGGATAAATGTAGATGCCCACGGGCTACAGCATCCACTTACCATCAAGTGAACTGTGTACTCGTTTGTCACCCTTATTTCATAAAACAACACCATTATACAATCATATCCTTGCAACTAAATATTATTATTTATATTACACAACCCAATTTTTTGAAAATTATTTTTTAATAAACGTACATACTTCGCCTCGTTCCCATCGTGTTTTTAGATTTTATCTTTCATTTACTAATTTCAAACTTAAATTTATAATCGGCACGAGTTCCACGAGTAACCTCATAATCCTCGGTGTTGTCAGCGTATTTACACCTTTATTCTTAACCGTGAATAGCTATAGAGTAGGGTTGCTGGTGGTTGTGATCATTGGTGTAGCTATACCGTGAACAGCAACATCCACTTATCATCAGGTGGACTGTGTTCTTATTGGTCATCCTTTCTCTTATAAAAATATTTTATAGTGCATTTTAATACGTCCGGAGAGATCAAGCGCAGAATCAATGACTTGATACACTTTTTAAGACACGGGGTGATCCAACTTTCTGACACCGAAATGCTACAGAGAATTTTTCGATGTAAAAACACAATATCTACTAATTTTTTCTCGAATGGGACCACTTCATGATTAACATGACCAATCAGGCGGACACACTCGACGAAAATAGACTTAAATAGAAAGTTTACGTTCTAAAATATTTTCTTTTTTAAAATTACAGAAAAATGATTACTTATATCTGGGCGGTGGCTATAATAGTGGCGCTAGTGCTGTATGCACTGCAGGTGCACTCGAAGTTCTCGAAGGCCGGTGTCAACCATCTTCCAGTGGTCCCTTTCCTTGGAAACATGGCTCGCATAATTCTCAAAAGGGATAACGTTATAAACCGCCTAACAGAGTTGTATCAGACTTACCCTGATGATGCGTAAGTATATTTATATATGTAATTTCTTAACGACTTGACTGATTGAGGTCATAGTCAAATAATTTTTTTGTCGAGTAGATGGTGCAAAAGTATGCCAGGGTCCGAAAGGTGGCGCTGTAGTTAATTTATTAAAAAACTCTATGTTTATGGACCAAAATGACACGCACAAGCTCACTACACATTTATGCACCTTAATGATGTGAGATACGTATGTGTGTTCGTATTCGTAACGCATTCACGCGTTTTCTTAAAATGAGATAGGCATGGTTTTGACTTGTTTTTAGAGTCACATATAAGCGGCGCTTTGTCTATTTTTCTTTTTTGGTCTGAATACGTATTACACTGAGCAGACAAGCAGACAAGCATGCAAGCATGATGATAGAAAGCCGGTACTTGCATTAGTAATTACGCTTTCCATTATTATAAGGTGTTGTTTAGTTCCGGGATTTTGAAAATGTATATATCATAATAATAATTTATCGCACTATTAACCGTATGAAGGTTAGTTAATCAGTTAACAATTACAGATTTGTTGGATTTTACGAGCTGATGAATCCATTGCTAATTATCAAAGATCCGGATCTGTTGAGAAAAATTACCGTAAAAGATTTCGAGCACTTCGTGAATAGACGCGGCTTGGGAGAGGATTTACAAGATCCATTATTTGGAAGAAGTTTATTGATTTTAAAAGGTAAGACTAATCTTTACTAATTCTTGGCATAATTATACTCATAATGATTAAAGTATATTAAATAATACATACAAGATATGGGGAGTTAATAACAAATATTTACTTGATATTATTAAAACTTTACTCGGTATAAAACTAACTTACCTTGAGTATTGCCAGAAACGTTGGGAATAAAAAAATTTAAAATTAAACTCGATAAAATCTGTAAAATTAGTTTTATTAAAAAACATTATTCCATGTGTAGTATTCACGTAACTATAAAAAAATCATTTTAACACTGCACTTTGTAATATATGACCACAACACCAAAAACCCCAAAGGAGGCTAGTCCATAAACAATTGCAAATAATTTTTTAATTGGAGGAAAGAGGAACCCCCAAAAAGTTCGTTATAAAAAAAAAAAAAAAAAAAAACACAAAATTTTCTTTCCCCCTGGTCAAGCATAGCTGCGGCATGCAACTAATAATATATGACATGTACGTTGGCATACAAGAGGACGTTGACGGTTTACTCACCAATTCTTTATATTTATCAACTTTAAAAGTTTTCAAACAACCGTCCACAAACAGATACAACCGTTACGGGGAAACTATAACAACCTGAGCTTTCTTCATAAGGAAATAAAGTGTAGTCACAAGAAGAATTTTTTCCAAACATACCGTAAATATTTTCACCATTTTCATGTATACTTTCATCAACAATCGTTCCTAATATCCTTTCATAAACAGGAACACTTTTATTTTTGGTATTCCCTTTTGTAGTTGCGTAAATTGCATGAATAATAAATATATCGAGTGTTACATGCTTTCCTGATATCGGGATTCTATTGCCTTAAATAAAGTATCAGGCGCTTCATTTCTTAAGCAAGATCTTGTATGTGTAATAGGGAATGAAATTGAAATATAATATTAAAAATTCATAGCCATAACAAATCATAGATTTGCCACAAAGTATGTCAGCATAAATTTAATATGTAAACATATAGCTAGACTAATTTACTTTAGCTATTTCTATAGCATAATGTCGTATGGTATTTTGCTATTGTGACACGTGACTGTTACTGAAATTATATTTGTTTTACAGAAGAGGACCATAAGAGCAACCTATGTTTTAAAACCTAAAGAGTCGTTCAGACAAAAATTTAAATAAATTAATATATTAACTTTGGCCTCTCAATGCATTTATGGCAATGTAATATACGTACACAAAAATAAGTGATATTCATTCTGTAAGTACTAGGAACAGACACTAGCTAGTAGTACCAGTTACTGGCTTAATCTAGTCCAGTTTAATTTTTAGAAGACACAAGTTTGCGCGTTTACCACTAAAAGGAACCCCTTTGTCGTTTCTCCTCAGTTTCGAGGTACTCCCCTTGTTGCCTCAGCCAGTATCGGAATCCTCGGCGTCGAGCGTCAGTAATTCATTCTTGGGGCGATGTATACGCTTTTACAACAAAATACCAGAAATATACAAAATTTGAGCTACTTAAAGTACAAGAACTTTATTAAATTAAATTTGTATAAAAAGGGTTATTATAATATTAAGGAATTTATGGATGATAATAACCTCCGGAAAAGATGATCACAAAGATATTTCTAATCAGTTCTGTATTGTTATATGTAATATACATGATTGTAAGCTCTTATTTTTTTTAATCCCGCTGGGTTTCTTGCTGCTTCTTCCCAATTCAGAGGTTTTTTTTTCCGAACCAGTGGTAAATTAAAAAAAGTGATTTTCAATAAGTATTATTTAATAATAATAAATAGAAAAGTTTCTGTTTCTAGCACGTGAGTGTTAGAAATAGAAATAGAAACAGAAACAGACACCTGCCACACAAAGTGGTAGGCATGGAAGACGGACTTTCATACCACGGTCCTGACACACCTGTCTCACCTCTCTCACCTCCTTTATATCCTAATACTGTAGTTAGATAAAACTAATTCAAAGTCATTATCCTGTTTAATAACAACTTATTATTAACTGGGGAAACACCGACGCTCCAAGAGTGCAGCACAGTATGTTATTTGCAGGATCATCCACAGGCTATTACACAGGTTAGACAGACTGCAAATATCTTCGCGAAAACCACACTGCAGCTGTACTGTAACACAGCAGTAGCAGTTGTAGCATGAATATGTCGACCACCGGGGAAGGACCAGGTTCTTACATAATATCCGTTGTGTTTTGTACAATTGTATAGAACCGCAGAATGTTTTCACTGGAAACGAGGCATTCCGCTATAGTCCTCTTGGATGACGATTTTTAGGCATTTTATTCTTTACACGATTAAGAGATAGATAGACATCTACTTCTGTGGAAATCAGCATCAACCGGACTGTGTGCTCGTTTGTCACCCTCATTCTATAGAAAAGGAGGTGACGCTATTATGTACAATTAAAAATTACAAACGTGTTTCAATAGACAGAATGCCTAGGATCCTAAAATAATTAAATTAAATTCACCACAGCAAGATTTCAATATACGATATATATAAGATTCAATATTTTTTCAGGTTAAAAGTAATTAATATGTGAGGAACTTAAATGCTTCGATTTTCATGATCATATTTATTTTAAAACACTTAGAACGTCGGTATTTAAAAATAAGTTAAAATTAAACGCTAATTAGTACAAGTTAAGAAATATTTTTAATCAACGTGTAGTATCCAAGTTTTCCTTTTTCCCTATCAGTTATTGCTTTGTTTAGTGATATGTCTAGTCTACTTGATATTGAGTGGATTATGTGGCCCATAGACATCTACATCTACCTTCCGATAAGTATAATGAATAAGATCTGAGACCGTCTTAGTCGTCAGCCACCGCAAACTCTATTCCACGTGGGATGCCACGTTTAGAGGTGAAACACGTGTCCTATTGTAGAGAGTGGTGTGTCTTTCCTATTACAGTAGTGTTGGGTGTAGTGGTGCTGGGCGTAGTGGTGCTGGGATTAGTGTTGACGGAGATAGTGCAAGCAATTGAAGGAGGGTGGGAGCATCATAATCCATGGGATCCTATAATGCAGACCACTGCAAGATTTTGAGATACTGTAAGCTTGTTCTGTGTAGATCGAACCAAAAAATAATTTTCTAAAACGGGTGGTAACCGGGCTAACAATGACATCAGGCAGTCAAATACCTCAGTCCCCCTTGGCCGCAAGTGCTATAAAGCACCCGATACATCGGGAATTCAAAAAGTCAAGACTAAACGCGATAAAATCCGTAAAGTTATTTTCATTTATTGTATAGTATTTGCGTTAATATAAGAAGACATCAAATTATTTTATTTTATTATGCGGATCTTAGTTATTTAGTTATCAACATCTTTATGCTTAGATTTTTTTAAAGAGTTTTAAAACCTTAAGTATATTATTTTTAGGTGAAGAATGGAAAGCGATGAGATCCACCCTAAGTCCTGCGTTTACAAGTTCAAAAATACGATTAATGGTTCCTCTTATGGTTGAAGTTGGAGACCAAATGATCAAAGCGTTAATGAAGAAAATTGAAGAATCTGGAGGTGCGTATTAATGGTGGTGTTGACGATTTTAGTTTCAACGACACTACTCGTGGCAAACTAACTTTATTGAAACTTGTAGATTTTTTAACTACTCGTAGTTCTTAAATCCACTTCTTAAATAATCGTCGTTCCCTTGGTTTGAGAAAATATTTGGACTTCGTTGCTTTACTTTAATTGAATCAAAATAAGTGGTAATTTAGAAACCTTCACTTTCATAAAAGGCGTTGATTTCCTGTTGAAGTCTCTTATTACATGAACCTTTGAATTTTTTACTATAATTTATATTAAAAAATAAAAATATAAATTTCTTTGCAACTTTCCGCTAAACATATAGAATGATGTGTCTTACCTGGATTGAAGCGTACCTCCCGCCCTCCCTCAATTGCATACACTAACTCCGTCACCACTAGACCAAGCACCACTACTCTCAACACCACTATTCCAGGCAAGACACACCATCGACGATAATACGACACGTGTTTCGCCTCTACACGAGGCATCCTGCAGGATCCTGCAGGAGGTAAGACACATCATTTTATATGTTTAGCGGAAAGTTGCAAAGAAATTTATATTTTTATTTTTTTATTATAATGGATTTCCGCAAAGTAACGCCTGATTCTATCAATTATATAATTTATATTATGCCAGCAACCTGGAACCCCGCTTATATTATGCAGGCAATAAATAAATGTTAAGACTTTGCGACAGTTAAAGGTACGAATAAATTATGATCACTCATCATAACCAAAGTACTAATTCTAAGCGAAAGAAGTCGCGGGCCCAACTAGTTAATAAATGAAGTCTTAAATCTCGAAATTTAATTATGTTTATATCGTTTATTTACGGCGTCTAAATCTAAAATCTACGTCTAAATGATATGACATTTGATTAACAGTGGTTGTTAGGTTTCAGTAATACAAGCAGCCACCCAGACCTCAATCGATAATTCGAATATGTATGTATATACGACCTATACTATAAATCAACAACAGATTGTTTTGGAACTTGTAATTATTCTTTATATCTATAAAAATGTCTAATTACAGAAAACTACATTGACATAGAATGCAAAGATATGGCGACACGGTATGCTAACGATGTTATCGCTTCGTGCGCGTTTGGTTTGAGGGTAGATTCGCTGGATGAAGATAACCAGTTCTACGAATCATGCAGAAAAATCACCACATTTAGCTTTAAGCGTATCTTAAAAGTCTTAGCATTTAGATCGTTTCCAAAAATAATGAAGGTGAGTTTCATACCATAACATATAAGAAAAAAATGGATTTCAAATAAATCAAAATTAAAAAGAAAACAAATATAAATCTTCTTAGCGATTTTTGAAAATGTTGATATCTAATATATAATATAATTAATATAGATGTAATTATATAGATGTTTTTCTAGATGTTCAAGGTAACCCTATTTTCAAAATCATTGAGTGAATTCTTCAAGGAACTAGTGCTCAGTACGATGAAACAACGTGAAGAGCAGCATATAATACGAAATGACATGATACAACTTCTTATGGAAACTAAAAAAGGTATGAATCGATAATAAATAAGCATTTATATTTAAAGACAATTATATTTTCATCTGAAAATATAATTGTCCTTTCCGTTAGTTGCTGCGATTTTCATCCCGAAATCACTCTGGACTTTTCACAGTTAAATATTTTTTTAATTGCTTCACGATAAACTAACGGGTCCTTGAATCTTGCGTTCGTGACTTTTATTTCCGGCACTAAACTAACATGTACTGTTAAATATGAGTCATTTTGGTAAATAAACATAATTTTTTGATATGACTGCATCGCCACCTATCGGACCCGAGTAAAGCTATGGACAACCATCTTGAGTCCCTGAGAGGAATCTAAAAACCATTAATTTTATCAATTTTCCATTTAACATTTTTCGTTTACCATTTCCATTCGATTCAATGAAAAATCTCCAAGTTTTTCGGATAAATTCTAGCTTATACCACTCTGGTCCTGGGTATGCTCGGTATTTGTTCGTAAATCATTATCATAATCGGTTTAGCCATTTTGAAGATTAGCCTGCCCACACAGACAGATAAACAGCCAAATTTTTGTTTGTCTGTCATTATATTTATCTGTCTTTATGTTGATTGGTGCAAGCAATCCAAATAAATTCAAATTATTCCAAATTATAGTAAAAAATTTAAAAATGTTTATTCAAGTTTTAATGGCATCCAAAAACCCTTTGAGCATGATCAATTTTACGTAAATGTGTTTATTATATATCTGAATCAATTTAAGGCAAATGTACTTTCTTTTTTCTTTTTACATTAGATTACATCAAAGAAGTCCTTACGTGCTCCTGTGTTATGTTTTTTAACTCAGTATTTAGTTATTTTAGTAACTCTTTTCGCTCCTGTCTCTTCATTTATCAAAATAAAGAAAATACCGCTAAGTGCATCGTATTGCAGAGCCTATTTTTCTGATGATGTCTCGTAAAGGGGAAAAACACGTGTTGTATTATTAACGGTGGTTTGATTTTCCTAGTGTGGTGGTGTTGGGTGTAATGGTGTTGGGATTAGTGATGACGGTGATAGTGCACATAATAGAGAATTGCGGGAGGTGCTATTCAAACTAGGTAAGACACATCATTTATATTTCTACGCAAATTTCTAATAATAGTCTGATTCTATTATTTAAAATAAAAAATAACATCAACTTGGAATGTTGGTTCATTTACCATTTTATGTTATATTTTTGCAAGTTGTTGTCATTTCCTCTATCAAGATTCAGTCCACTGATGGAAGTTCTTTCAATAGAAGTATCTACTGTAATCGTCGTGCTTGGTAGGCAGATCAGAGAAGAAATCAGAGTTTTAATATTAGACTTTTGACAGTACTCCTTCTCTACGGTGTAATTATTATCGTATGGCGTATTGTGCAAGATGGTATGGCGTTATTTATTGCAGATAATTAGCTCTTACTGACTTTAGTCGCTTGCCAGGCACCTCGCCCGGTGGAAGAACTTCCCTTTTTAACAACCAAAGATGACCCCCACGTGATCTGATGTGAATAAAACAAATTTTAGCTGATATAGTATACTTCTTCTTCTATTTCAACAGCTCTTAAAAATAACAAATACTTTTCAGTTAATTCTTAGTAAGATCAAAACAAAATATTTGTTTTCAGATTGCTCATTCACCCTTCAATCCCCATAAAATTCTCATGCAGTCACATGCACCTGATAAATATTTGTTATCAAAATATAATAAAATCTTTTTGTAATGAAGTAAAACTTGACTTTTGTTTAGACCACAGGATAGAAACTTTCATATTGATTCTATAATTCCAAACTTCTTTATAGAAAACTAGTCTCTAAGCATAAGTTTTTATGGGTTAAAGTGCCGTGGGTGGGTGCCGTCAAATTTGAGCTCTTGAATTTTGACGGAATATCGAAGCGGTCAAATTTGGACGCTTGGGGTTTTAGAGGTTAAGATATTATAAATGATAATATCGTTTGCAATTTAATGGCGGCATAAAAGAGTTCTACTTGCCCATATCATCCCATGGGTGTCCTAAGAGGCTACAAAGAAAAATGAAACAAGAGATGGGCAGCAGCATCTTCTTTATAATAACTCCAAATAGCCTGATACCTGAGTTACTATTAGGAATAATCTAAAAAGCCATCTACAGAGCGTTGCAAGCACGGAAAATCCCTATTAGGCAATTTATGGAGGAGGCAAACCATATCTTTAAGTCTTAACAAATTTGGGAGCCTACATTTTTCATATTTTTTTCACATTACGAGTACTCAAATTTATATTTCTCAATAACTAATAAAAGATTATAACTAATAAAAGATAACTAATAAAAGGGGGATGAGTCGCTCGCGTCCGTAGGCTTCGACCACCAAACCTTAGGCCCACCCTACATGTGTCCCCCGGGTGGTGCTAAACGAGCGACAAAGCCGAAAAAAATAGACTAGGCTTCCCGCCGTGTGGTAGCGGCGTAAAATCTACCACCACCCCTTGTTCGCACCATGAGTCAGGAGATAAAAGAAATAGCCCCGAGTTCCCGGCGCCCCTTTAATGGGGCAGGGGTACGAAGAATCTCCGGGAGAAAACCGGCGATGAGGTTCGCCACCCGTCACGTTGTAATGTTTAACGGTTGGTAAATGAAAGGAAGACGTGTTTCTCTACTCAAGACTTTAATTATACTGACACTTAAACCTAAGAGTAAGTATATTTATTAACATATGCTAGTAGGGTGGAGGCACATACACTACACCTCCCCCGATACTTAAAAAAAAAAGGAAAGTTCTCTATTTACTTTTTTTTTTAAATTTTAGTTTTCATTAATCTTATAACATAATAAAAATTTTAATATTAAATAATTTTTAATATTTATTTTTAATCTTTTAATATTGAAGATTAAAATAAAATACATTGTTACATAGGCTTTAAATGTATATAATTTCTAATTGGAATAAAATAACGTAGTTAAACAAAATATAAAACTAACTTCATTTAAAAGAAATTATAATCTCATGATCATGATCAGATTATACCATGGTTATACATAATCATATTATTAAGTCAATCCGTGATACGCATGCGATTTTATTTCGTTAACATTTTTATTTCGTACGACATTAAGCCTGTCGTATTTTTGATATTAATCAATGTCACAACTGCACGATACCACCTATCATACCATATACTTATTAATATTTTTTTTTTACATTTATTTTCACTCGAGATTTATTACATTAACTATATGTTATAGTTAGAAGTTATGATTTAAAAGTTCAAACAATATAAAACTGAAAATAAACTATTACATTTCATATTAAGCAGTACCTGCTCTACCTTTATATATATTTATTCACATTTGTATTCATAATTGTATATACTTTATATTTAATTTATTTATACCTTTATATTTGTTTAACTATTGCTTTCATGATCCATACAAATAGGTTAGACATTAATATTCTACTATATTTTCAGAAATTAATGACTTATAAAAGTTAAAGCATGTGATTTGAAGGTTTAATGAATATAACACCGATAATATTACATTTCATTTAAATATGAAAAGAGCAAAAAACATAATGTAATGCAACGCAAATATCATCGCTATCAGCAATAACGGGAATCAAAATACAACTTGCAATCCCAGTCGCGTAAGCGGTTTGTGACACCTACGTTTTAAATTTCTAAGTAGGCAGGTACGTATAAGGCTACGTTTGCAATTACATCGGACTATGATCACAAGGTGTGGTGATTCATACCTAACATTAAGTAACTTCCATAATATGTTATAATATGAATGCAAGTAAAATATACCTTAAAACTTGGAACAGATATTTAAAAATAGTTGCATTGTTAATAATAAAATATTACTTTTACTTCTAAGAAATACGTTTATCTTAATTGGGACAGAAATTTATATAAAAAGAGAATACACTGTTAGGTACACAGCTAAAGTTTTTTTTTTTTTACAAAATATTTATTTACATTGGAAAAGCCAATTTTATTTCAAGCAGGTGACACAATTTTAGGTTTTCGTTGCCTTTTTTATAGAAAAAAAAACGATTACATTATACAATTTACAATAATAGTGTATCGATAACCTTTGGACTTGATTATAATAAGCTTTATATAAATGTAGTTCAAAATTGTACACATTTTACATAAGAAAACGTGAGACAGAAAAAAAAAATATTTAAAGTAGAATCATTGTAAATACGAATCAATGTGCCTAAATATGAAAAAATCTCGTAAATTTATATAAATTTACGCGAAAGTGTACTTATCATATTGGGTTGATATATTTTTATTTGTTTACGTGTAGTTGTGCGAATCGAACCCTATAGCTGTTATATGTGCAACTTGCTAGTAGTATTTTGGGTAGCGTTAATAGTCCTAATACAGAAATGCAAAATAACCATCTATCCACTATTAGATTATCATACATCTATCACACTTTTTAATCTGCTCGGGGATCCCCTTGTTATCCTGTATTGTCATCAATTATTAGGCCTTTTTTCCAAAATTATTGTACGTACTTTCTTTTTTCTTCTTAATATTTTTGACCTTTAGCTAGCTCTATTTCTCTCTATTCACTTATATATTTATTTATTTATTAGATACCGGGAATCGGAGTATTATTTCATTTCATTTATATTTTATTTCGTGATATTTATCACGCGGGTACTTTATAAATATGGGCCCCCCATTTATTTGGGTATTATATTACATTTTCGTAACATTCATTTCATTTTATTGGTACATATTTTTTTTATTTTATATCAAGGTAAAATGTACCTTGGGTTGTGCGCACAACCTTGAGGTCTACGTTTAAGTCATTTTCAAAGGACTCCAACAATTGTCACAGAGGAAAACTATGTTCACACCATGATCCGACGAAGGATGTGACCTCAATGTACCATTATTAAGGGTAACAAATTTAAGACTTCTCTGGTCCCTAACAGTCCTAATATGAGTAAACTCAGTTACATCACTTGTGCTGAAGGCGTTGTTCCCTAGTACCCGTTACTCCGAC